GTAGTACCCACTTCCAGATGATGCCATGTATGTAGTACCCACTTCCAGATGATGCCATGTATGTGGCCCAAGTCAATGCACTGGGAAAGGCACCTCTAGCCTGGCTGTCCAACCCTAGAGCCTGGTCCCTTGCCTCCAAACTGCAGCTAAGCCTCTGCAGAATAAACAAGCTTAAACCTTTTTGGAACATTTCTAGAAGAATAATTCAGTTAAACTGTCACTGTCTTTTAAAAAATTCAAATACAGCACTGATACACTCTGTTGAAGAAGACTGTTCGGGGGGCTCTCTGTGCAAATAATTAGCAACCCTGAAAATTCCCATTTACCATGTGCATTCTTGAAATTTAAATAATAAGACAAAATAAAGAACAGAAAACCCCAGAGAAGTCAATGAAATGATGAAGAGGTTACAAATAGAACCTGAAAGATGTGTGTGTGTGTGTGTGTGTGTGTGTACTTGGTGAGACTGGGTTATTTTCTTTAGGTTAAAAATAGACAGAATACATGGCTACTTAGAAATACACGTGGAACTAACGTTAACCAATCGACATTCTGAATCAAGCGCAGAACAAGAACGAATTGGTTTCCACAGAAGCCACACTGTTTAGATACAAGAAGGATTTCCACTGAAAAGATGGGTTTTAGGGTTCAGTAAGTTTGAACTGCAATGTTGGCAGTTTAAGCTCACCAGTCACTCCTTGTAAACCCTATACAGGGTTGCTATGGGTCGGAATCGACTCAACGGCACTTAACAAGTTTTAAACAAGCTTCCAAGAAGTTTCAAGAGGAAAACAGACAGATGCTCTTTGGTTATTCATGCCGACTTGTTTTTCTCTGCACCTGGGAAGCCTGGAAGAATCTGGAAGACACCAAAGTGAGACTGCTTCACTGCGAGTGGACACAGGGTATGCCCTCTGAACTTCTGCTGTTGAATTAAAGAATGAGTGAATGTGGAAAAGGACAGGGAACAGCATACTGCCTTTGCAAACATGGGTCCTCACCCACAGCCAAGCTGAGGAAGGATAATAAGTCCTCATCCCCTCAGGGTCTTCTAAGTACAACTTGACAACATTACATCAAACCTAAAGACTCTGGTGGCAGAGTGGTTACGTGCTCAGCTGCTAACAAAGAGGTTGGTTCAACCCCAACAGCCGCTCTGCCGGAGAGAATGTGGCAATTTGCTTCTGTAAAGATTTCAGCACTGGAAACCATATAGGATAGTTCTAGCTCTAGCCTGTCGTACAGAGTCACAATGAATCAGATTCCCTTGATAGGAGTGGGTTAGGGCTTTGTGTTCTGTTTTTCTCCCATCAAATATTCATGGGAATCTATAAATCATCATTAACACTCTCCTTTCATGTGTTACCTAAGTCCTCCAAAGCCCACACAGTTGGGAAGATGGAAAATGTGATTCTTTAAGTATATGATCCCATTTCAATGAAGTGATAAGAGGAGATTTTTCTAGAGGCAGAAATCAGTTCAGTGACGGCCTGGGACGGGCAGTGGGGACATGATGCACTACAGGAAAAAGCGATAGTTTTGGAGTGATAGAAATGTCCGGAAATTAAATTGTGATGATAGTGTCACAACTCTGGAAATATGCTAGAAATCATTGAACTGTACACTGAAAATGGGTGCACTGTATGATATGTACATTTTACCTCAATAAAAGCACATATTAAACACATAATTGGTTTTAAAAAAAAGGAAAAAGAAAGTAATTTTGCAACTAGAGCTTCTATTTCAAAACTTGCAGCTGTTGAAGAGAAAAATTAATCATAGGTATCTTGCTTTTATTTTAAGGTTTTCTTATTCATGAAGTCAAATTTAGCTGCAAAATAATTCTTGACTAAAAGTTAATCCTGCCAAGAGTCCTTCACCCGAAGTTGCTAATCTTCTCTTTCCAGTTCAAAGCCAGGTTTACTTCATTTAAATTTCCAAAGGTATCATGGCTTCTGGTGGGTATAGAACCAGAGATCATCTTGTGACCAGATATCAGCTGATCTCAGTAAAAGGAGAAAAGATAGGGTCTATTAAGCTCATTAAAATTAGCTAATGTTTCATCTTTTCTTTTCCATCTTCTTTGCTTTGTAAGTTTCATTGTAACTAGCTTAACTGGAACATTATTCTTTTCTTTTGCAATCAGAATTATCTCCTTATATGCATATAGAATAAGTGTTCAAAATAAATCTTATGTTTCAATTTCTTTGAGTGTGATTTTTTTTTTTTTTTACTTGTGCCTCACTGAACTGAGCGGAGAGCCAGGTTACAGGACCCCATCAGCAACTCCATGTTTGTTTGTTTTTTTAAATGGAATTGGAGACTCCAGAACCACAGGTACTCTGTTTAGGGTCCTGGCCTAGAAAGTGAGGTTGACAGTAAGCAGGCTACTGCGTCAGGGAACGCTCTTCTTAGAGGCTCAAAATCGACTCAGCTCTCAGAACCATCTGCCGCACACTATTGTTCTACGTTGTTGAGTGCTGGACACTTTTCCAAAGTAGCCTTCATAATAGAAGTTGTTCCTCAGAAAGTCTATACAGGGTCACTATGAGTTGGAACTGACTTGATGGCACTTGACAACAACTGTGTGGTGCTGCGGGTTAAGCGCTGGACTGTAAAGTAGGTTTGAACCACAAGGTTGACTGTTCAAGCTCACCAGTTGCTTCTTGGAAACCCTTTACAGAGTTGCTATGAGTCAGAACTGACTCCATGGCACTTACAACAACAACAACAACAGTAGAAGCTGTTGCAGTTCTGGTGAAAGGAATGCACAAGTAATGAGACTCAGTCCACAGCCTCAGGGGCAGTGGGCTTCAAGTTAAGAAATAATGTGCTTGGAGAATGGCAAGAAAGCAGTTGCCTTAAAAAAGAGGACTTGAGAAACTGAAACTCTTCCATCTGTACATTCATTGTCATAGTTAAGTGTCAAATTGGTTACGATGCATAGCAACCCTATCTATGTAGGGTTGGGTTTCCAAGAAGTAGCTGGTGGGTGAGAACCGCTGACCTTGTTGTTTGTAGTCCAGTGCTGATCCTACAGCACCACATCAGATTTATTGAGAAGTATCTGCCACTGAGGAGCTCTGGTGGCACCGTGGATTAAGCATAAGGCTATTAATCAAAAGGTCAGTGGTTTGAGCCCACTGCAAGAGAAAGATGCGGCAATTTGCCTCCATCAGTGTTTGCAGCCTTGGAAACACTACAGAGCTGCTCTACTTTGTACAAATACAGAAGCTGGAATTGGCTCCACAGGTATTTTGCTTTGTTTTGATTATCTACCACGACTGAGTCCATCATTCAACCACTCCTTCATTCACATGTTATGAAACACTACACTTCACCACCTTGGGGCAAGCATAGACTTTCAGAGTGGTGCATCATAAGGTGGAAAACCAGTGTGACAGCTTAGGTTTTGTGTCACCTTGGTTGGGCTAGGATTCACAGTGGTTTTGTGGTTAAGACATCACCTCCATGATGAGATATGATATAGTAAAATCAGCCCCATGTTGTGATATAATGTGAGCAGTCCTGATCTGATGTTATTGCGCTTTGTTCTGTGGTGTTCATGAGGTCAGACAAAATCTACAGGATGAGGCTATATACTCAATAATTTCTTTTGAGATATAAAAGGAGAGGGAATTGGGCAGAGAAAGGGGAACTTACTACCACTACCAAGAAACAAGAGCAGGAGTGGAGAGTGTCTTTTGGACCTGGGGTGCCTACACTGTGACACTCTGAAATCCAGGGACAAATTGATGCTGAGACACATGAAAATCTCCAAAGAATGTGGGAACAACTAATGGTGCAAGGAGACCAGGCCCTGTCCCCAGAGCCGGTATTCTGAATTCAGACTTCTAGCTTTCTAAACTGTGAGAATAAATCTCTGTTTTTCAAAAGCCATCCACTTGTGATTTTCATATTATGTTGTTGTTGTTGAGTGCCATCAAGTTGATTCCGACCCACAGTGACCCTGTATAGGGTTTCCAAGGAGCGGCTGGTGAGCTTGAACCACCGACCTTGCAGTTCAAATGGCTTTGCAGTCTGACTCATTAATGCACAGCACCACACCAGGACTCCATTCATGTTATGTTATTGTTGTTTGTGCCGTGGAGTCGGTTCTGACTCAGAGCAACCCTGTACAGGGTTTCCGAGGCTGTAAAACTTTATGGGAGCAGAAAGCTTCATCTTTCTCCCACAGAACAGTTGGTAGTTTCGAACTGCTGACCTTGTGGTTCCCGGCCTGATTCATAACCACTACACTACGAGAGCTCCTCCCATTCTTTATAGTAGCACTAAATAATGAAGATAACCAGATTTTGCCTAAAGATGCTTCTCCTATAGCCAAGAGAATGGCCTTGCAAAGCCCTGAAGGTAAAGCTAGCTTTGCTAAGTGCTGTGAAGTGAATTTGCAAATGGTACCACTGAGAAGGGAGTTAGGGGTCAGGAAGGGGATAAACATCAAATAAGAAATTGTGTGTGTAAGTGGAGAGTGGTACAGGTTGCTTGAGTGCAGGAAATTAAACAAACCAAACAGGTCATCAGTTCATAAACAAGGGTAGTGTAGTAGGGAGATAATCCTGGGTGGGGGGGAAGGAGGGAGAAAAACACCACAATATAGGTATGTTAAAGCCCACCCCAAATGTGCCTCAAAGCCATCAAACACCAGAGTTCCACTTGATGGATGACTTGTACCTAGTGAATCATCCCAAGACCTAGGAAATCTGACCAAAAGGATGAGCTCATGAGAAAAAGAATCAATCTCGAGGAAGCAAGTCAAAACAGAGTTAGTTGAGAAAAAGGCGAAGTATCCATTCAGGAACAAGTCATTAATCAGTTCTATTCTGGAAGCATTTGATTTTGGATCTAATATGCTGAGTGCTCTTTAATACATCCTCCTTCAGAGATCACTGTGAGCTCTGCATGTCACCTCCAAACCTTCCTCTACAGCATCACCAGAGACACTGACTAGAGCAGGAACAAACATGCTGAAATGGAGAAATAAGTGGCTTGGTTATGGGACTCGAAGGTTGTAAGGGGAGTTGGAAATCATCTAACTAGGAAAACTCCTTTTAATTCTTCCATTTTAAAGAAGACACAGCAGAAAATTAGAACAGTTGATACTTGCTGGCAAAGACAGTTTGAGCAGTGGCTCCAAGACAAAAGATTCAGAAAACATGACGGCAGAGAGGAGAGGAGAAGAAAGCAGGACAGGCAAGACGAGGGCGAGCAGAGGTAGAAGGTACACAGCTGAGTCACAATGTATTAGTGCATTGCTGGGCTGACATCCTAAACTCACTTAAATTATGAACATGCATGAGGACAAGAGAAAATGGGTCTTACCTGGAGGGAGGTACTGGCAGTGCCCGGAGGAGTTCACTAAAACGTTGGTATGGAATGTGGCATCAAACCGTTCATCAGCGCTAGAAACAGGAAAAGCATTCCATGAGCCAATGTTACTAGGCAGAAGTTTCCCAGGTGCCTGGTCGTGCCCAAGTCAGTCATGGTAGGAGGAGGGAAGGCGTTTGCAGGGATTCCTGTTTATTGGAGGAAAGGAGCGCGAGCTCTCTCATTGCAGTTCCTGTTCCTATCTGGGTCTGGAAGACTTCCTCAGCAAATCGTGGAAGGGCCAATTCCCTCCACATACACACTCCAGTCATATAAACATTATATATATACACACACACACACACACACACATACACACACACATACATATATGCATATACATACAAGTTCACACACATATACATACACACATACATGTACATGCATATACACACACATATACACACACACAAACGTACATAAATATATATATGTATGTTGTTGTCGTTAAGTGCCGTCAAGTTGGTTCCGACCCATAGCAATCCTGTATAGGGTTTCCAAGGAGCAGCTGGTGAGCTTGAACCACCGACCTTGCAGTTCAAGCAACTTTGCAGTCTGATGTATTAGCCCACAACACCACACCAATATTCCACACACACACATATATATGTATTCATATTCATATACACACACATATATGTTGTTGTTGTTAAGTGTTGTTGAGTAGGTTCCTACTCATAGTGACCCTGTTTCTGAGGAGCTGCTGGTGAGCTTGAGCTGCCAACCTTGCTGTTCTAATGACTTTGTAGTCTGATGCATTGACCCACAATACCATACTAAGACTCCACACACATATACACATACACACACACACATATATACACATGTTCACACAAACATATATATTCATATACACACACATATATATTTTTGTTATTAAGTGCTGTCGAGTTGGTTCCTACCCATAGCGACCCTGTTTCTGAGGAGCTGCTGGTGAGCTTGAATTGCCAACCTTGCTGTTCAAACAACTTTGCAGTCTGGTGCATTAATCCACAATGCCACATTAGGACATATATATACATACATATACATACACACACATATTTATGGGTGTGTATATAACAAAGCTTCTAACAGAAAAGGGAGTAGGAGGACTTCAGAAGATGAAAAAAATGTCAATATATTTTCAGGAGTTAAGGAGTAGTAAGTGTGGGCAGTAGTGATTCTACTGACAGAATTCTTGTCTTCCCTTCAGGAGCCACCAGACCAACATTTATCACACTTCATCAAGCTTCCCTATGGTCCTAACAGACACTGAAACCAGCTCCATCAAGGCTCCCATGAACTACTTCTGGATTTAATGCCCTGAATGCAGACAATACTGAGGCCAAGAGGAACTCCATCTAGGGGCCAGAAACTTTGTTATCACATCCCTTCCACAACTACCCTATAAGCTCCTTGAATTGCAGGAGCCTCCCCCAGAGATTTCTCTCCTCCAGGTATAACAGCTGTACTGTTTGTTTTTACAAATGTGACAATCCCACAGTGCACAATGCCCTGGAAACAACAGACCAATTTAGCTCACACACACACAAAAACAAAAGAGAATGCTTAAACAAATGACCAAGATGCAGAGCCAGAAAATGTTTCTAAGGAAAAAAAGGTAATGGAACTAACTGAAAAAGAATTCAAAAGAATGATAATTAGGTACTTTCAAAAGGAGTGATAGAAAGATTGAGCAAATTAAGGACGAGAATATCAAAACTTTAAAAGAATTCAGGAAAATACTGCAAGAACATACAGACAAAATAAATGCAAATTTTGGAACAATACAAAACCTGCAATGAGAAATCTGAAGATTAATACTAAGATCTCAGAAACTAACAATACATTAAAAGGGCAAAGTAGTAACTTTGAAGCAATTGAAGCCCAAATTAGTGAGCTTGAAGAGAAAACTCTCAATATTAGTATACTAGAAGAACAACAGAAAAAAGGAATGATAAAATTTAAAGAAAGCCTAAGAATTATGTGGGACACCACGAAGAGGAATAATTTATGGGTGATTGGAATTCCAGAACAGGAAGAGACAAGCACAGAGGAAACTGCTGATGAGTTGTTGGAAGAGCACTTCCCTAACATCATGAAAGATGAGAAGATAAGCATACAAGAAGCTGGGGTTTGCTGAGCTTCTTGAATGTTTATCTCTTCACTTTTCAGGATGTTAGAAAAAATTTCTTCCAGAAGCTACTCAACTATCTCCTCTGTGGACTTGTGTGATTCTTCCTTTTCTGGAATGCTGGTAATTTTTAAGTTATTCCTCTTCATGTTGTCCAACATGAATCTTAGACCTGCTTCAGATTTTTTTGAATCCTTTTTTTCTGCTTGGTCTTCTATCTTAGTGGTATTGAGAGATTTGTCCTTCATTTCACTAGTTATGCCATTCAATTTTTCAATTCTACTCCTTTGCCCTTTCAGTGTATTGTCTATTTCTGATAATCTATTATTGATTGTTTGAATCTCTTTCTGTAGGTTTTGAATTGTTTCCAATGCTGTATCTATCTTATTTGATTGTTCCTGTAGAGCTTTCCTGACTTCTTCCTATTTTTCTCAACTCCACTGTAAAGTGTTTTGAAACATTTTATAATCATTTTTCTGAATTCCTTCTCGGTCATGTCCAAAGTCTGCCCTCCTTCCAGAGTGTAGTCCAGGTCGACCTCTAGTTCTTTTGTCTCAGACATTTTATCATGTTTATGGACATGTGTTGATATGGTCATCTGTTTTTGCTTTTAGACATGTTTTGTATTTAGCTGTGGCCTTAATACTTGTGTGTTTTGGTATTTTTTATGCTAACCGATTGCCTCCAGGTAAATGTAATCGGGAGGTGGGCTTCCTTTTCCACTATTCTTATTGCTTAACTCAGAGTAACTTTCGCAGGTGTTGTCTGCCTCCCTGGCGTATGGCAGTTGATATTGGTTCTTTCCTGGATTGTAGGGCTTTACAGGGTATGATTTTATCTTAACTATATGGCAGCAATTGCTGACTCTTCTTGGGTAGTAAAGGGAGAGAAAAAGCCACCTATAGATAAAAGAGGGAACAGAAAAAAAAATACAGCAGAACTAAACCTCCCCTCCCCCCCATAAAAACAGCAACAGCAAAAAAGCAAGGAAAAACCAGAACAAAAACAACACAAAAAACAAAAATCAAAACAAAACAAAAAACCAGACTGGATACTGGACTCTATAATCATGGAAAAAGGAGAGGAGATAAAAGAAAAAGAAAATAATACTCTGTAGTCTAATATGAGCACGACTTTAATGTCCTCTTTCAGTTTGTTGCCTTCAAGGCTGTCTGATACATTTTAAGATGCCACTGTTCATTGTTATGCTGTACCTCAGGATTTAGTTTTTGATCTGTTTTGTTTTTAAACTCTCTCCCTCTCCACACCCCCATTCTGGCCCTTTCCCTATTAATAAACAGTTCAGGACCAGCTGTGGCCGTTTTGAGCTGCCTGTTTGTAGCATAGTGATTACGAATCAGGCTGTCAAGCCCAAAACCAGCAGCTCGGAACCACCAGCTGTTCCGCAGGAGAAAGACTAGGCCCTCTGCTTACGCAGAGATTCACAGCCTTAGAAATCCTGCGCAGGGTCGCTATGAGCTGGAACTGACTCCAAAGTACTCAAAAGTGAGAAGGTCAAGTCCCTCTAAATGCTGAGAGGATCTGTGTGCATGTGGGGCGGAAGAACCCTCCAGTCGTGGGAGTGGGGGTGTCTACTCGCTCGGTCACCCCCTTTAGTTACCAGACTGGAGGTACGTAGACAGCTAAAGGCCAATGAACAGATAACAAAAAAAAAACAAAAACAAAATCAGAATGGCAAAACCAAACACAGAATATTGTCACCTTTGCTCCAAGGTTCCTAAGGTTGTTCATTCCTGGGGTGTCTGCTTGCTCCCCCGCTTGGTCTTACCATTTGTTCTCACCCAATTTGTCAGCTTTGGGCTGCTAAGCCTGGCAGATTCTAAAGTATGAGATGTCTTAGCTTTCGCAACAAGTTCCACTAACTATAAGCCTTCAAACATTTTAGAATATTTAAAAAGTTTGAAGGCTTATAGTTAGTGGAACTTGTTGCAGAAGCTAAGACATCCTCATATTTTAGAATCTACCAGGCGTCCTGGTGTGGTGCTGTGGGTTAATGCGCCAGACTGCAAAGCTGTTTGAACTGCAAGGGCGGCGGTTCAAGCTCACCAGCTTGGAAACCCTACACAGGGTCGCTCTGGGTTGGCATCGACTCTACGGCACTCAGCAACAACAACAACAACACCTCTGTAGTTCAGAATTTTGGCGCTCTCCCCTGAACCCACTTCGTCTGGTATTCTGTGGTATTGCTGACGGAGATCTTCACTGCACCTCTACCCTATCTGCCATCAAGCCCTGCCTCCTTCCTTGCACTGCTCTTTTAAAAACTTAAGCTTGTACCTACAATTACAGCAAAGCAGCTCTGAGGCACACTCGGCAAATGTCACCACCACTGTGGAGTAGGTAGTGGCAGCAACTGAAAGCATCCTCTGTCACATGCTGCATTGTACAGATGCTACCTGGCACAGACGCTGCATGGCATAGGTGCTGCATAGCACAGGCACTGCATGGCACAGGTGCTGCATGGTACAGACGCTACATGACACAGAGTTTTGCTTATTTTAAGTTTGGGATCCTTCTTGTCTGTCTTTGACTCTTATGATAGAGACTTATGCTGTGAGCATATGTTAGATCAATGATTCAAGTCTGAAAAACTACAACAACCCCTACTGCTCTTCTTCCCACTATTCAGAACAATTTCATTGAAGAGACACTTGGAACTGCAAGGCAAATGGACAAAACCAAAATAAAAACCTGTTACCAGTAGCAACTGACGACTTGTATGACATTTTCCAACCCAAACAAAATACTGAAATAACTGGAATTTTAACACTGTAACAGTAAAAATATAAAATGGAATGCTCATTCTAATGCTTATATTGGTCTTTAGATATCTTTCCTCTTACCATTTTTGCAACTTTTTTTAACCTTACAGAATGCTTTTTTGGTTGTAATCATGTT